CCAGAGTGCTAACCTTTACACCATAAGAGCACCTAGCTTAGACACAACACGCCCAATCCGCAACCCGCTCGAATCGCACGCAATTCACGTATTTACGGACATGCCACATGTGCTGCACATACCCCTTTCACATATCATCGTGCTCCTACACTTACGGCTATGCTCGCATGCTTCTTTCGCCACCCGGCTTGCTTCAATCCCCGCCTCGAGCCATCCGGTTGCTACTCGCTTTGACGTCGCATTTCTTCGTGTTTTGGATACCCACGGGATCTATTGTTCTCGCGGAAGGCTGCGATGAGCCCTCTGGCTGTCTTGGAGAATTGGTAGTGCAGTCAGCGAAATCGGCAGTTAGGCTTGGTGAGCTCTGCCAGAGCAGCAGCTACCACTTAAATCGGCAGCGGATCGCCGGGACACGATATAACACACCACGGCAACACAACGTGACGCGGCTGTAGCGTGTGGCAGGTGCGCAACGCAGCAACAACTGGGGCGTTGTAGGGCCGGTAGAAGCGGTGCAAAACGAGGTCCTACCGGGATTTGAACCCGGATCGCTGGATTCAGAGTCCAGTGCTAACCATTACACCATAAGACCAGCACTAACTCACCAATCCGCAAACAAAATTCAAACGCTTTCCTAAAGCCCCACACGACAGCTGGCGCCATCGCTACATACTATGCTTGCAACGCCGCACAAAATTAAGCTCCTACCGGGATTTGAACCCGGATCGCTGGATTCAAAGTCCAGAGTGCTAACCATTACACCATAAGAGCACCTAGCTCAGACACAACACGCCCAATCCGCAACCCGCTCGAATCGCACGCAATTCACGTATTCACGGACATGCCACATGTGCTGCACATACCCCTTTCACATATCATCGTGCTCCTACACTTACGGCCATGCTCGCATGCTTCTTTCGCCACCAGGCTTGCTTCAATCCCCGCCTCGAGCCATCCGGTTGCTACTCGCTTTGACGTCGCATTTCTTCGTGTTATGGATACCCACGGGATCAATTGTTCTCGCGGAAGGCTGCGATGAACCCTCTGGCTGTCTTGGAGAATTGGTACTGCAGTCAGCGAAGTCGGCAGTTAGGCTTGGTGAGCTCTGCCAGAGCAGCAGCTACCACTTAAATCGGCAGCGGATCGCCGGGACACGATATAACACACCACGGCAACACAACGTGACGCGGCTGTAGCGTGTTGCAGGTGCGCAACGCAGCAACAACTGGGGCGTTGTAGGGCCGGTAGAAGCGGTGCAAAACGAGGTCCTACCGGGATTTGAACCCGGATCGCTGGATTCAGAGTCCAGAGTGCTAACCATTACACCATAAGAGCAGCACTAACTCACCAATCCGCAAACAAAATTTCAAACGCTTTCCTAAAGCCCCACACGACAGCTGGCGCCATCGCTACATACTATGCTTGCAACGCCGCACAAAATCAAGCTCCTACCGGGATTTGAACCCGGATCGCTGGATTCAAAGTCCAGAGTGCTAACCATTACACCATAAGAGCACCTAGCTCAGACACACCACGCCCAATCCGCAACCCGCTCGAATCGCACGCAATTCACGTATTCACGGACATGCCATATGTGCTGCACATACCCCTTTCACATATCATCGTGCTCCTACCCTTACGGCCATGCTCGCATGCTTCTTTCGCCACCCGGCTTGCTTCAATCCCCGCCTCGAACCATCCGGTTGCTACTCGCTTTGACGTCGCATTTCTTCGTGTTTTGGGTACCCACGGGATCTATTGTTCTCGCGGAAGGCTGCGATGAGCTCTCTGGCTGTCCTGGAGAGTTAGTAGTGCAGTTAGCGAAATCGGCAGTTAGGCTTGGTGAGCTCTGCCAGAGCAGCAGCTACCACTTAAATCGGCAGCGGATCGCCGGGACACGATACAACACACCATGGCAACACAACGTGACGCGGCTGTAGCGTGTGGCAGGTGCGCAACGCAGCAACAACTGGGGCGTTGTAGGGCCGGTAGAAGCGGCGCAAAACGAGGTCCTACCGGGATTTGAACCCGGATCGCTGGATTCAGAGTCCAGAGTGCTAACCATTACACCATAAGACCAGCACTAACTCGCCAATCCGCAAACAAAATTTCAAACGCTTTCCTAAAGCCCCACACGACAGCTGGCGCCATCGCTACATACTATACCTGCAACACCGCACAAAACCAAGCTCCTACCGGGATTTGAACCCGGATCGCTGGATTCAAAGTCCAGAGTGCTAACCATTACACCATAAGAGCACCTAGCTCAGACACAACACGCCCAATCCGCAACCCGCTCAAATCGCACGCAATTTACGTATTTACGGACGTGCCCCATGTGCTGCACATACCCCTTTCACATATCATGGTGCTCCTACACTTACGGACATGCTCGCCTGCTTCTTTCGCCACCCGGCTTGCTTCAATCCCCGCCTCGAGCCATCCGGTTGCTACTCGCTTTGACGTCGCATTTCTTCGTGTTATGGACACCCACGGGATCTATTGTTCTCGCGGAAGGCTGCGATGAGCCCTCTGGCTGTCTTGGAGAATTGGTAGTGCAGTCAGCGAAGTCGGCAGTTAGGCTTGGTGAGCTCTGCCAGAGCAGCAGCTACCACTTAAATCGGCAGCGGATCGCCGGGACACGATATAACACACCACGGCAACACAACCACTTCAGTCTAAAACCGCTAAATAATATATTTAGTTTAGCGTCGTGATCGATTTCACGGGCCGTTTCTGAAACCTAGATTGCAACAATGCAAAGAATATCTGTCCAGCTTGCATCAAATACCCGCTTGTACTGCCTGGTTAAGCTTGTAATAAACTGACTATTAACCACTTCGCATACCAAACTCGCTACTTTGAAAGAAAATTAAAAGTGTTACAGTTTGAATATTTAATAAAAATATTCAAGCTGTAGCATTTTTTTATGCCTTGAAGTGTGTTCATTTTGTGCTGATTCAGAAATTAGTCATTAGACACTCCAATCTGTGCCTGTTATGGTTATACTGTAGCCTTTGGATATAACGATGCGTCGCACGACGCCTTTTGTTGACGGCGGTATTTTTATTTGATACTTAAACGATGATTCCAGGGTTAAACGTAGATTAGGCTCTAAGTTGATTAACGTTTCTTTACGGGCCTACTTATAATAACCAAAATTGACACCTCTCATGTTGTGCTGTTATCTTACCACTGCATATAAAACCTTATTCTACGCCCTTGTCGGCAACGCGTCTACCTATTAAGAAGTATCAGAATTTTGTTGTCTAAAAAAACGCTAAGGAAACAATGGTCAAGTTCAATTCGCTTACAGTAGTAATTGTCATCAGCACATATAACTTCTTTTTGTTCACACGTCAATCTAACACTATATATCTTTGTGGATCAAGTGACAACGTTTATAAGCACAGTTTTGTTCTTACGGCCAGTCTACACGACCGGCTACTGCTGTACATGTAACATGTACGATTTAGCAATACCAGAAACCCACTCAGATAACTTATTAATGCTAATATTTCTACAGTAAATATATTAAAATTATCATTTTAGTCAGTGTAACACGTAGATCCTACTGAGTACAGAGTATTTAGTATACTTAAACCATGTCCTCGGAAACACGCATGCTTACGTGTACGCTAAGCACCCTGCCCTCCGTTTACTGTAGTATTCAAATATCAATAACAACTTGCATTATGAAAAAGTATATAATATTTGAGCGATGCCGCCTTCGGATAATGCATAGCCTTGTGCAAATCCCCATATGTAAACTGGGAAACACATGCATTTATTGATGTCAACTACACCATCTAGTTTTAACCAATTGAAGACACCTTCGCTGCGCTCGTCAGCCAGTAAATATATTTAAATTATTTTATCCAATGATTTGTCCGGAAAAGCGTGACAGGCACGACAATTTAGTGTGACGGACAGACAGGTTGCTGCAGTAGATGTTTA